AAAAAAAAAAAAAAAAAAAAAAGTGTTTACCTCTCTGGGGGTAAGCATTGCAGGAGGGAGGAAGATTTCCATGTTTGACTTCACTCACATTCAATATGGTTGTTTTGTTTACAATGATAATCTACTTTTTTATAATTAAAAATAACGAAATACTATTTTTAAAGTACTGAACATAGCTTTCTTAAATAATTAAACAGTATATTTTTTTCAACTGGTGCCATTAGGTTTGTTTGGAGAGGCAAGTGGTAAGAATTCAAAGTCCCTATTACAAATTCCTCTCAGAAAACATCATGCATTGCATTTAGGAAATGGGGCTGAAAAGATGATGACCAAACAGAAAATGAATTCTTTAAAAAACAGGTTGAAAGTTTCCATGTTTTACACACATACAAGATTGTATTTAGAATTAAATCTCTCAGAATCAGAAACCTTAGCAAATAGTCATTCATCCAACTCCAAATTGAGCAAACCTACTGAAATTGCTTTAAAAAGTAGTTGTGAAGCAAATATGGATTTCATCTACATTTTAAGAAACTGAACGTTCAGAAATCCATTCTACAAAGGAATCTTTGAGCAAGCAACATATATGCATAACATTATATCTGTGACCACAGAAGTGGATAAATTGTATTTTATTGGAGTTTGGGATGCAGAGACTGTTGAGCTCTCACATCTGGAAGAAATTGCATGACTATATACATGCTTCTGACCTGGTGGGACAATGCAACCCCCAAGTGCATGATAAGCACCTGCAGGCATAATTTCACAAAATACAGAAAATTGCTGTAAAACCAGGGCATGATTGTAATTTAAGGGAAATGGTGCAGATAAATCTATTTTAATGGATAAGCTTAGAAGATGCAAAATAAATATGTCAGCACTTCATTATTTATTCCTTTCAACTGGTCTAAATTAGAGTGGAAAGTGAACACAATATCCACGTTAGAATTGTACACATAGAAATGAAAAAAGTCTTTTTTCTAAGGCATTTTAGTACTTTGGAAAAACTTAATCCTAGTCGAGCCTTAATTTCAAGCCTCTCTCTCTTTTTCAATTCCACTGCGTAACCTACTGAGCACATTTTTGTGTCAGACATTTCCTAAGCAGTCAAGTTACTCACCACTGAATAGAGTTCATAAATTCTCTTTTGCTCAAGTGAGTCTCTTTTGACATGATAGAGTTGGTTATTTCATTCAGTATAAAATAAGTTAGGGAGGCTAAAGAGAGAGATCCCCACCTGGGATTACTGCCAGACAGCAGAACAGTGATGTCTGTGATAATGAGCCCAATCTGAGTACCCTTTCAAGGCTGTTTTTCGTTCCAGTCTGACAAGTTTTGGTTTATTGGCAGTGATACTGAAGCTGGCTTATCTTTGTTGCAGCCTGTGAAATAAACTTTATTAGTAAGGATCTCCTAAAATGATACCCAAATTTAGGATCAAGTCATAGATATCTAGTTTCAGAAATGAGGAATTCAATATAGTATTTCCTTTAATTAAATCGTGCTAATTTATGTAAACATAGTAGGTACTTTATAATGTTCTAGAGAAAATATGACATTTTTTAAAAGCAAGGAAAAAATTTCCCTGGTAACATGATCAATGACGTTATCGGCATAAGACTTGTTATTAACTTTAAACAGGAGAAAATATATTAAATGAATAAAGATAAATTTGCATAAGAAACAAAACCACATTTTCTGAGGTAATTACAAAATTTTGTACAGGCTCGGGGCAAAAAGTAAAACACCTCAAACTGTCTCTAAAAAGTACTAGAACTTAACAGTCTCTGTGTTCCTTGTCTCTTCTTCATGTTCACTGTGTTTTATTTGTTTATTTAATTAATTAATGTTTATTTTTTGAGACAAAATCTCGCTCTGTCACATAGGCTGGAGTGCAGTGGCACAATCTTGGCTTACTGCAACCTTTGCCTCCCAGGTTCGAGCGATTCTCCTGCCTCAACCTCCCAAATAACTGGGACTACAGATGCCCGCCACCATGCCCAGCTAGTTTTTGTATTTTTAGTAGAGACAGGGTTTTACCAAGTTGGCCAGGCTCGTCTTGAACCCTTGACCTCAGGTGATCCGCCTGCCTCAGCCTCCCAAATTGCTGGGATTACAGC